TGAAAAGCTGTAGTATTACACTCTAAAAAGTGCTGGGTTAAATACAACCCAGTGCTGGGTAAAATAGGGACAAACCCAGCAATTGGGTTGTTTTGACCCAGCAGTTGGGTTACTACCCAGAAAGTTGGGTTAAACATTTAACCCAACCGCTGGGTCAAAACAGACCAATTGCTGGGTTTGTCCCTATTTTACCCAGCACTGGGTTGTATTTACAACCCAATTGCTGGGTTTGTCCCTATTTTACCCAGCACTGGGTTGTATTTAACCCAGCATTTTTTAGAGTGTATGAAATATTATTTTCTATTTTAGCATATTTTAAAATGTCATTTATTCCTGCGATCAAAGCTGAATTTTCAGCATCATTACTCCAGTCTTCAGTGTCACTTGATCCTTCAGAAAAGATTCTAATATGGTGATTTGTTGCTCAAGAAACATTTCTTATTATTATCAATGTTGAAAACAGCTGGACCGCTTAATATTTTTATGGTAACCGTAATACACTACAAAAGTTCAAAACTTCAAATGTTTGGTGTATGATTTAAAAAAATAAATTAATTAAAACATATTCAACAAGGACACGTTAAATTAATCAAAAGTGACAGTAAAGACAATAATGCTACAAGATTACTTTTTTGAATAAATATTGTTCTTTTGAAAAAAAAAAAAAAGATTATCACGGTTTCCAAAAACAAAACAAAACAAAAAGCAGAAACAGTTTTCAACATAAATAATAATAAGAACCGTTATTAATAATTAAACACCAATAATAATGAATTATAACTGAGCACCAAATAAGTATGCTAGAATGATCATGTGATCATGCGGATCATGTGAAGACTAGAGTAATGGCCACTCAAAATTCAGCTTTACCATCACAAGAATAAATTATATTTTAAAACACATTAAAACAGAAAACAGTTCTTTTAAATTGTAACAACATTTCAGAATATTACTGTTTTTACTATTTTTCATCAAATAAAGGCACCCTTGGTGAGCATAAAAGACTTCCTTCATTATTTCAAACTTTTGACTGGAAGTGTAAGTCAGTTACCAAACTTAAAATTCAGTTTAAGCCATAATTCTTCATCTCACAGGCTGCTTCTGAGTGCTCAGTTGTAGAGGATGCCGCAGATTACTGTAATCTGGCAAACTTCACTGAGACTGTACAGCATCGCTTTACCACTGTGCTCCAGGGACAGGAATATTTATGCTAAAAACAATGAAAATGACTTAAATGAACTATGTCTGGTGCACAAATAGTGCTTGGTTAAACTGGATTGCGAGTGATTAGTTATGATGATTCAGATGTTACTGCGTGCAAAGGTGATTTAACAATTCAGTGAATTCGGCCCATAGGCTCAAAGAAACTGAAAATATAATTATTCATCATTAGTGTATATTGCTTAGGCTATCTTAAATAATTCTATGGTCTTCTGAAATGCTCTTTTAATGTGTCCATCTTAAGAGTTATTTAACTGAACTTTGATCATTAAACTTATTTTTAATCTAAGAAGAGATCTTAAACTATTATATGAAAGCTTTAAACTGATGTTGGCTTGCAAAGAATTACTTTAAAGTAAAAATGTGATGAATAACTGATCAGGGAAAGTACAAAACAATAATCCTTTGGCCAGCAGAAAGCATGATTAGAAACAAAAATGAAAGAAATTAAATGACGTATTAACTTACAGTAATTAAGTATTTCTAAATTTACATTACAATACCCAAGTTACTTCTTTCAAAAAAGTAATTGTTTTATATTTATTTACAAATACAATTGAAAAAACAGTCCCATTAATGTAGTCATAGTGAGAAAACAAAATTTTACCATTACGTATAGAATTACTAAAATGACGATTTTAACAATACAAGAACATGAAATACAAGAAAATGTTTAAAAGTAACACTACCCATTAGTGGGTGAATAAACTTTAAAGGGCCCTTGAAAGTCTTTATACCACGTGACACAAAGTAACGAGTCTTTGACTTGATAAAAAAGATGTCCATTTAGCATTCTCTTATAACACTAAAACACTTTCTCTTTGAAACAGAGCAAGAAAAGCACCTTCATTATCTGTGACGAGTGGCCACAAGACAATCTGACCTGAATACCACATGCTTATTTTTTGAGCATTACATTTATTCAGTTTTTTCCTGTTTTCACGAAACAGTCCCTGCATCACACCACTGCACATTTGCATTAAATCCTGCTATCAGTCTCTATGGCATCCTGATCCCTAGTAATGTCTTGGTATTTTTATTTATTTATTTTTTATAGATTTTAGAAATCGCTTAGACTAAAACTACAGAAAGTTACACACCAAAGTTAATTACAGACATCATGTCTTAACTGCAACAATGTAAATGTTTTGGCCAGAAGTACTTTATCTGCCCAAACTATATTTTTCCGACATGACAAAATGACAGCCAATCAAAAAATTATTTAATGTTTAATAATCAACTGTGGATCATGATTTTGACCCATAAGATTTCAGTGAGTGGGTCCCCTTATAGAAAAACCACATTAATTTCCCATGTTTTCCATATGTGATTTTAACATGTACATTTCATATATGTGTAGTTTTCATGTTAAACATTCATGAAATGCATGTAGTGCATGTAAGGTTTACTCAGCACAACGCCACAGAAACTAAGCGAGTAACAAAATGTCCAAAACTTGCTGTTTCTCATGGTTGCAGCTGGATAGGACAAAAAGTAGCTTTCATTGCATCATGCCTGGTTAGAATACTGTGTTAGGGGCATGAGCATTAGTAATAGTGAGGCTTACCTTAGCCAGTATCACTAATAACATGTAACAGAGCAGAACTGGCCCAGAGCTGGTTTGAAATGGCAAATAAAGAACTGATTTTAAAAATATATATATTTCACCAGTAGGTTCATCTGAGATCATTGCGTTTGGTTTTCAGATGGAATAATTTCAAATGCTTGGACATTTTGTCCAGAAGTAATATTTTAACAAAGGAATCAGTAGAGACTCTCTGCTCAACATTTTCACTAATACAAATTGATGAAGAGAAAGAAAGAGATGGATATAGAGAGATCAAAGGTTCTGATGTAGTCTGCGTGAGTCCAGCACGCAGTGGGAGGGAACGTCCAATCATCAGATTCCAGACTGAACGAATGCTAGAGAGACTCATCCAGCTACATATCGCCTGCATTACCCCACTGAATAGAACATTCACATATTTATGAATGTCATTTGCAAAGCTCTGTTGTGACAGTACAACAGTTTTTAAAACTAAAATTTTAATTTTAATTTTTAAAATTTATGGTAAAAAACCGGCAGCTGTGGTTGCCTGAATTTTACCGTAAAAAAAATACGGTAGCAAAAACGGTATACTACCGTGAAATTAATGTCCAATACATGTAATGTCCAATACAGTTTTTCACCGTATATAGTAGGGGAATTTACCGTTAACCATTTAACAGGTTTTTACTGTAGCATTTTTACAGTCTTTTACTGTTAAATTCACGGTCATTTTTTACAGTGTAGTCCTCCAGATGATTTCTTAAACCCACTGGGGTTTGGACAGCAAAACCACTGTATCAAAAAGTGACAGGTGTTCCTTCAGTCACATTTGAATATGACAATCCCTGTATCACATTCTGGAAAATATTCAGAAGTATCAAAGACAAAGGAATACTGAAATATGTCCTTGATTTAAGCAGAAATTTAGGAGAAGTAGTCAGTGTCCACCTCTAACATTTGGTTCATTCCAAGTTGTTTTGTCAGGATTTTGGCTGATATGTCAAATCTGGAAATAAATTCAAACCTCTCTAAGGCCAGAAACATTAGACAAATGCCAGAACAAGAATATGGTGATTAAAAAAATTATCTTGTGTAAATTCTATGCAAATAGCACTCGCAAGTAAACTACAGTATAGTAGGGAGAGCACAGCAAATATAATTTTTGCATTTAATAACGCAAAAGCATAGTGATATAAATGTACATTCATACAAAATTTAAAAAGAAGCAAGTTCAAGACTCTCATTTTAATAATAAAATACATCATTTTAATTATAATTATAAATAATTATAATTATAATTAAATAAGATCACTTAATAAATTAATAAATGAGATTAAATCCATAGCATATGTCTGGATTATTTTACAAATTATTTAAGTACTGCAGGTTTGCATAAAATTCTGTGTTTGCATTTCTTAGTTTTTTTGTTTTTTTTTATCCCTTTTGATGAATATCTGTTCTTTATACGAGTGACATGATTAATCAGCAATGTTGCAGCAAACAACATCTGACTGGTGTCTATATTTCAGCAGCACTCACATACATTTTACTATGAGTGTAATACAAAACTTTCCACAAACAATTTTTTTTACTTAAAATGAATGACTACGGTAAAACAAGTTATCACTATTATTTTAATCTTCTGACTAGTTTTATTTAACAAAAAAAAAAGTAATTGAATGAATGTAAATGAAAAAAAAAAGAAAAACTGTTACTTAGATGATTGATTTGTTTAGGACATGTTTCAGTATAATAATAGTTGCACACCAAAACATTTCACAGCATAAATATTTGTCCAAATTAAAAGAGCTCAGGGAATAATGATTTTGAACTCTGGTGACAAACAAAACTTGAGCACCCTGACCCTCTCTCAGATCCCATGTTTCCACTGACTTGAGAGCTGTATAACACATAGCTGACTATGTTACCAATTATGGTGCACTGCTGTCATTGTTTAGAAGTCTTACTCCTAATTTTCAGGTCTTATTTGTACATCAATACATTGCACTTCCTGAATGAGGCCCCAAGTGTTTCCTCTACGATGCTACATGAATCTTTGCAGTACAACATAGTGCTGCGATCTTTCAACAAATTGGTGCACCTCTTTTGAATCAAATACATAGTTCAGCTGGTAATGGGTTTCAGTAAGAAAGCTGTTAAACCCTCAGCCTGCTGTTTTCCAACCATTTCCTCATTTACACTTGCCAACAACATTTGACTACAGTCTTACCTGATGAATAATTTCAGCCACTGGGAGTTGGTCCACATATGTCAACGATTCGATTTGTATATCGCCGCTTCCAGACCTGAGAAAAAAACATGGAGAGATAACAGTCTTCACAGCAGACAAAACAGGTCCTTTTTTTAAATGTAATGTTTTCAAACTTCGCCTAAGGTGAAAACGAAACAAATTACTTGTTATGTGTCCTGTAAAATTGAAGCACCCTCTAATCTAGCTACATTACTATGCAGTGGGCAGAAGAAGCCAAAGCCTCACGAACGTGCAGCCATCCCCTACGCAACTGCCCACAGTCTGTTAGTTTGAGAGGTGGGATGATGTTTTGGCCCTCATGTAGGCCAGTAAAGCTCAGGAAAAGACGAAAGAGTTGGCTTCAGCCCGTCTATCTGCGACTTCATACATGAGTGGCTGCTGAAATAAAATTCAGTATGCAGCTCTCAATTCCACACAACAACTGACTGAGACCGAGTGTGATCTGGAGTGGAAGGTACCAAAACAAAAACAATTGTCCTTGATAATGAATGGAGGGAAGAAAAGATGAAAATGGTAGAAAACCCCCCATGAAATCTCATTGGACTACATTATTTGTGGCATCTATAATTTCTCTCTGTATGATATGTATCTGTATATTTCGCTCAAGGAAAACATGCATCAAGAGTTAGTTGAAGCAACACTATTATACAGCTTGCAGGACAAATAAAATGAATCAAGCATTTTAAAATATTTGTTGCGTGATGTGGGGGTGGTGATTGACAGGTAATTTTAGAGGTGTCTTTGCAATTCACAGAACAAACAGCAAACAAACTGAAAAGTGTTTGCATGTAGAATGAGGACTGGAGGTTAACAAAACGACTGTAGTGCAGATATATGTTAGAGACCGGAGGCAATTGGTAATCTATAGTTGGGCACAGCATTTCACACGACAAATCATTCCTGTATTTCAATGAGCGGCCTGGGCAGCCAATTCACGGCCCACCGGGATGAGGCTTTTTCTGTTAGTTGACAAAATGGCCTGTCATTCTAGCCATGTGTATAGCATAGGCACATTGAACCACTTTTGGTTTCAGTTCAAATGGCTAGACTTGAATTACTGCAAAACGGAAAAGCAACAAGAACACAGCTAGATTATTTACTGTGTGCCTGTCGGCTACAACATCTGCACTCGAGCAAATGGAACAGCAATAAAAACACTGCAGTAGCAATGAAACAAATCATTTTTCACTGTTTCATACTGACAAGTAGTAATATAGACAACATTTTTTAATTTACATTTTCAGAAGAAATTGTGAGTGGTGTTTACCCATGCAAAACTCCACATTGCCAGCAATGAGCTTCCTAATATGTTCTGAATTGGTTTTAGCATGCTGCTATGCGGCAGATAGGACATTTTTAGTGGTTGTTTTGTGGTTTCTTACTTGGCCAAGTCAAAAGAGCCCACCTTTTTTATAATATTCTGATCCCAAGATCTATATGCATCCCAATATCTCAGAATCAGCCTTCAAATTCTTGTTGAGAATCTCCTCAACAAACCGCACAGTTCAAGGTGTAATTCATGTATGTAATACAAATGATGCAGGACAAGTTATTCAACAAAATGTAATACTTAAGCCTAATTACACAGACAACAATTACTGTCACTGGAGGTTGCAGAGTATCTGTGGGGTTGCTACTTGACTCCATTATCCGACTGTATTACTTCCATTGGTTGTTGCTACATTACACTGCATTTGCATAAAAGCCCAGACACATCAAACTGACAAAAAAGAACGTCACCTCACATTGCCTGCCTTTTGGCCAGAAAGGTGTGCTTCAACAGACCGCAAAGTCATCGGCCAACAAGCACATATGTTCTGTGCCTGTGTGAGCGCAAATTACTCTCCATACCAGCAGGTGGCAGTAGTCTGTATTCATAATTCAAAAAGAGAAACCAGAAGACTTGCACTGCATCCGAAATCGAATACTTCCCTACTTTATAGTGTGCGGAAAACAGTACGCCAAAAGAGTATTATTTCCGAATTCATAGTATTCGAAAAACAGTAGCCGAAATGTACCCGGATGATCTACTACTTCCACCCGGATTCTGAAGTGCACATGCGATGGACACTTTACTATCCCATGAGGACACGGCAGAGGTTTTATGAATGGCAGTGAAGCGACACAACTGACACTGGCAGGTCATGTGATAGTAACAACATGGTGGATGTATGTATTAGGGCTGCACAATTAATCAAATTTCTAATAGCGATTACAATTATTCTGCGTGCTTAAGATGCGTTTTCTTATTTCTACATGTTATCTTAAGGGTTTTTCCCATTATTTTAATTTTAGTATAACATTATAATACCATTCATATTTTTACTTTTTTATCATTTAAAGAAGAAACCAATCTGATGTATAGTTGACATTTGAGACTTAATACTATAGAAAAGCTCAGTTAGAGTGTTTTCAGCTTGTTTATTTTCATATAAAAATACGGCATGCAGTTGCATCAAACAATGGTATAAACATCATTCAATGTAAATTGTAATAATCGTAATTAATAATCGCAATTACAATTTCAAGGGAATAATCAACAATTACGATTTTTGTCATAATCGTGCAGTCCTAGTACGTGTCCGAAATGTCATTCATACTGCCCATATTCATACTATACAGAACATAATATTTTAAGTAAGTTCAAACTCAGTACGTGATTTCGGACCAATTCAACATGCTCAATAAAAAAAAAAAAAAAACGCAGACTGGAGTTCGACTAGTGCCAAAAACTAGGCCAACAGAGCCTCATCAATGGCCCTACATTGGCCAACGGACGATCATCAGATTGGTGTGTCACGGCCATAAAAGTCTTCATGAAATCAAAACTGACCTAATTTTACTTGGCGCACATTACTACTCACGCAGTGAACAATTAATCAGTTAATCAAAGTTAATCCACAAATGTTTGTCTGCATAATGTTTAGTCCAAATCTGAAAATTTACTTCCCCTCTGGAATGGCATTTCTCTTTTGACGTCAGTTTGAGAGCTTAACCTCACCGCTCCAACCGTCAGTCTGCTGCAAAATAGAGATGGCGAGGAGGTGCACTAAAATCAAACTCCACCCTCTGTTTTATTCATTCAGTATTCTGTTTCACTCTGAAGTACATCACAATACTGAAGCAAAGTCGGTCTCGACTTCTGGTTCATGTGGACTTTAAAGTGGAGCTCTGCTTTGTTGCATCACCAACAGTCGTTCTTGCATATGCCATTGGAAATTGCCAACTCTCATTGAAAACTAACTAGACTTCCTGTCGATTTGCCACTGTAAATTGTTGTTAGTCTGAACGCACCTACATATTTTTGTTAAAAACATTAAGCATGAGCATTACTAATAATACTTGCCTTAGCAAACACCACTAATAAGTTCTTGAAGCATTTTGGGAAATATGAGGCAATGCAGCTAATAAACCATTTAAAGAGACTCAAAATTATTCCACATCCATAACTGCAATTTCGCAACTGTTATACAGGATAAACTTTGAATCAAAGAGTTTTGGTAAATTTATAAGAAAACCCATCAGAAGGTGTCTAGAGAGGGTGAGTGTGTACTGAGAGTAAACTTTCATTTCCTTTATGCCCACGCCGCACCTCCTGATTTATTTTTCATTTCGTAACATCACCTGACATTTAATTACTTTGAGACTTGAGACCTGCTCTAGGCAGTCAACATCATCACCCTGGGCAAACCTGAATTACAATACAGTCTCGTAAAGAGTGGGCACGTATTATAAAGACGAGTGGGGAGTCTATTAAACCGTCCTCTTCTGTAAAACTGAATTTACCTAATGGAAGCCCTCTGATACAGCAGCAGAGACTGCGGAGGAATGGAGGTGGAAAACAGGATGGCTAGAATGATTTAGTGTTGTAACGCCTCTACTGTCATGTTTAGAGAGACATCTCATAGAGGGGGAGAATAAGAGTTGCGTTGCTTTTAAACACACTGGAGAACATGACGTTCTGCTATGCTGAAACCTAAAGGGATAATTCACCCAAAAAGGAATACTCTGTCATCATTTACTCACCCTCATGTCGTTCCAATCCAGTAGGGCTATGCAATATATCGAAATGATCGAAATATCGCAAATGTACATATCGCAATATGCATATTGCTACAGCTTATGACATTTTTATGTAATGCTAGAGTAAAACACTACCGTTCACTTTCAGAAGTTGTTGTAGGGGTGCTTCTCACAAACACAAGGAATTTGTTGTGGTTTTACAGGAGCTCTTGATACATACATACATACATACATACATACAAATAATCCTATATATTATATATGACACAAGATAGTTATAGAAGTTCACAAAACTGACTCAGCAACAGCTGAGTAAAACTGTTTCATCTGAGCATGTGGCACTTTAAGCATTATCGTATCGCATATCGAATATCGCATAATTTAATGAGTTATCGCATATCGCATTTTTCTTCAATATCGCACAGCCCTACAATCCAGTATGACCTTTTTTTCAGAGGAACAAACATTTTTGGAAGACTACACCTGCTACTTTTTTTTTTTAAATATAATTTGATGCTGGGGTTCAACTGAATTGACTAGAAATGAATAATGACACTAGTGTCTTGTGTAGTTGAACTGAACTTGTTTCACAACTGATTAACTCTGCAACATTGACCTAAATTGAACTAAATTGAATCAACATTGGACTAAATTGAGCTGCATTACACTACTTCACTATAAAAAGTGAACCTGGGGCTGTCAAATTTTATTACAATAGCTTTGTGTGAGGAAAAGACTGAAATTATCTATTAAAATGTTGGTAACACTTTACAATAAGGTTCATTAGTTAACATTAGTTAACTACTTTAGTTAACACGAACTAAGAATGAACAATACTTCTACAGCATTTATTAATCTTAGTTAATGCTAATTTCAACCTTTACTAATGCATTAATAAAATCAAAAGTTGTGCTTGTTAACATTTGTTAACACACTGTGAATTAGCATGACCTAACAATGAGCAACTGTATTTAACTAACATTAACAAAGATTAATAAATATTGTAATAAA